AGAGAGAGAGAGAGAGAGAGAGAGAGAAGGGGACGCAACAACGATGACCCCTCTTGGCAAGCGGAATGTCACTGGATCCCAATAGGCTCTGTGCGTATACCCCAATATTGATTGGTCAACACACGACCACCCTGCTTTTCCCCCTCCCTTTTCCCCCAAAATTGAAACTGTTCATATCCCAAAAGGAAGCAGATAAATGTATTCTGTTTCGACCTAATCGTGTGTAGTGTGTGTCTTTATCATTCCCCATTCTTTGTTTTTGATTTTTTTTTCACTGAAGACTTTCTGATGGCTCTTGTGTGCAAACCCCTTCTGAATGGCTTGAAACAATTAAAGCTGTGTCCACCATTACAGCCACCTCTTTTCCTTCTAGCAATAGTATCCACACTCCTCTCTCCTGGTGGCACTGCACCCCCCCCCCTCCCCACGAAAAAACACCCTTGGGACTGCTATTCAAAAGGGGAAAGCACTGATATACACAAGATTTTGATATGAAAACTTCGTATTATAACAACAACAGCTACTGTTATCTACCACCACTGCCACAACCACAACTACAACTGCAGTTACAATTACCACAACATGCCCCCCTGACCTAATAAAAAATATGGAGGTGGGAGGGGGGGGGTTTCAGGGGGGCATGCCCCTCTGAATTTTATCCTAATTTGATGTTTCGCAGTTAGGTTGCATCCCAACTCTTTGTGTAGCCTATTTCAAATAGTATTTGGTCATCAAGACTTCTGGGTTTCTTCTCTGGATGCAAACAAATGGATCGTGGGCTTTAACTAGCGGAACTACAAGATCACCTCAACTTTCCACAGCTGTTTATTGTTACCACTGAACTCAGCTACAGCTACCGAAATTTGTCAAGAACTGAAAGGCTTAAGAAGAGGGGAAACCATCTGAACGCTTTTTATATACATGTAGAAATCTTGGCCTATATAACAAACAAACACTCCGTTTGTTTGTCAAAGGCAGAAGACACAACAAACTCATGTCTTACCTTGTTTGTCTTTGGCATTAAAAACTGGCATCTTGAAAGGAGAACTTTTCACAAGTACCTTGAAATTTCTTCTTGAATGTTTTGTTTTAGTACCTGGCTCAAAGTTGAACTATTAGCAATATTTTACCCTTCCCAATGTCAACTGCGCGTTATAAACTCAACACACTTTTCTAGATCTATCTCTTTTTCAAATCACTTCTCTTTTAAGAAACGAATCTGAAATAGCCTACGAGGAAACTAATTACTGACACGTCCTTTTCAAAATGTCCAAAGTTTCCAGCGCACCTTGAAGCGAATAACAAACTTCTCCGACGATCGTCTTTCAAAACACTACTTAACCTACACTGTACGTGCAACGTGAGAGCGCGTTTCAAATTTTAACTCTCTACCACTACGCGGTGAATGCGGGTGCACCACCAACTTGCTCGTTCGTTCAGTTCAGAAGCCACAGACTGCTTCGCTCGCTGGCTGCCGCGCTAACCTCGCTCGAACGCGTCTTCTCGGTCCTGTGCTACGTACAGAGAGGCTAAAAATTCCACCGAGGGGCAGAGAGGGGCCACTAATAATCTCGCTCCCCGGCGATTTAGTTCCGCGTTTAGCTCGTCATGTGGTGGCCTAGTTCTCTTTACGGAGATGGCAGCAGCCGGTTCGAGATAGTTTACCCGCGTTGGGGAATCCCTTTTCTACGGGGTAAATTAGGTTTTATTTATAAGCCCAGGAGGAAGATGTTTCATGGTATATTATGTATCCTGGATTAGGACCCTTTCCCTGTTCAAAGTCAACACAAGAATTACCTTCCTTGCAGGGGAATTCCATTCCAACGCTGTCATATTGCTATGTGTAATTCCCTGTATGTTAAAATTACATTTTTATGTCACGATGCGATGGAATCAGGCGCTCGTTCATTTTTGGACGTGTGAGAGTATTGGTACCATCCTAAAGCATGTTCGTTTGTCTGTCTTTCAATGAAAAAAAAAGTCCATCTATCTTGAATAGAAGTCGAGATATTTCTGACTGAAGAAGGTTGGGGTTGTCTAGTTTCAGAACCAGAGAATGACCGCCAATGTTTGGTGACTTCCATAGCTTGAGAGTCCTTGGAGACGAAAATCTACATTGTTCAATAAATGTCTCTTTGTAAAGGACACAACAGGTGTTGAGTTAAAAAAAACCATGTACATTATTTCGATAAAATTGTCCAATCAGGCGGGGAAAAGGCGGTATCTTCGATTTCACTACGATTCGCCTGATTTCACCACAATGTCTCACATTTATTTTTCAAGTCTTTCTACCTTTAACTGTCCCTGGGCAAAAAGCTAATGTTGCCTATTACAATGACAATTTGAGTTAAGACTAAGAGGATGCCATCGACACTACGACAGTCAAAGTCTTAGGTTAAAAAAAGATCAATAGAATGCACTTTGAAATGAATAACTAACTTCACTGATAGTCTTTAAGGCATCGGTTGTCTTGTGGTTTGGCTGTTAGTCCTGCCTGATAACCACTGTACTGTGGCGATTAGTAACGATGTTTGTGTATTTGAATGTATAACAGTCTGTACTTACTATGTTGCATTATGCTAATAAAGTAATCTTCCATTTTGCTTTGGATGAAAATGTCGGTTTAAAAAAAAATGCTTTCGTTTCCAAGTGTTGCCAACTCGTACTGATAAACTTGCCAAGATTCTGCATTGATGTGCAACAGCTTTGAAATAAATGTAGGCTAAATTAAGTTTCTAGCTTTTATTATTTTGAAAACGCCTATATTTAAAGATATGCACACACAACTCATAGACCCACAAATATTCTCATATGTAAAAACTACTGACAGAGAGTAGGACTGATCAACAAAATTCTGCGCCGAAGCTTTTTCCTATCACGAGTTTAAGTTTGATTAAAATACTCAATAGTAGACACACATACACACATACACACACATATACACATACACACATACACACACACATACATACATACATACATACATACCTACCTACCTACTTACCTACCTACCTACCTACCTACCTACCTACCTAC